GAATGAGGCCTAGCCTTGCTATAGTACTGTTATAAAAATACTCTTAGGGGCTGAGCATGCAATTTGGTGGTACCTGCTTAGCACGTGAGGCCCTGGGTTCAATCCTCTACACAGAAAAAAACAAATTAAAATGCAAAACAAAAAACCCTGTACTTTAAATCTTGACTAAGAACTGGTCCATGTGTTTTCTCTCTCAGGACCCCTCCAGTGAGTCACCCATGTCTCAATTTCCATTTTTATAACTTATGACTCATGGAGGCGATAACTCCAGTGTTGTTCTGTTTTGGTGCTCCCCGCTCTATCTAAGCTCAGAAGAGCACAATGCATATATATAAATGAGTGGACAAAGGCAATAATAGAGGAAATCAATGAACAACCAATTACTTTGAGGAAAATCCACAACCAAGCTCATCTTTGACTTTTTTCTAAAATATAGTGACCTCAGCCAAAACCACGTCTATGCCAGAAGTTTTTATGACCCAGTTTATGGAGGGATCACAAATGTTGATCTTCAGGCTGTTATATGAAAACACATATGACAGCAGAAGTTTACAATCCACAGTCTCTTGAAAAATAAGCATGACTATTCTAGGAGGTATAAACATGTCCCACAACAGTGAAGATCTGTTTTTGGACTGCTAATGTGCACTGTAGTTAATGTGTCATTGTTGCCAAGACTAAGGATTCAGTGGGATAAATATTAACTATCAACATTATGCTTTTTTGGTATTGGCGATCGAACTCAGACCCTTATGCTTACGAGGCAGGTGGTGGAACAACTGAGCCAAATCCCCAGCAACATTATGCTTTTAAAACTTATCCGCAAACTCCAAGTTTAAAGAATCCAGTACCTTTTTTCTTGTGTATGCTGAAGACTTCAAAGACTTTTCCTTCTAATAATGAAATGTTTCCAAAATATCAAGTTACATCTTCAGTTCGTAAGGGCAGTCTCTAGAATCACACCAACTGCCACAAAGCCAGAGCCACTTACCTTAGAACTAAGAGTTGTGCAGCAGGGACCTACTAATTATAAATTACCAGTCACTAAGCATGGTATACATTCATTCAAATTCTTCTGGGTTTAGTTCCATTTTCTATCAGCTAAGGCTGCTCCACACCATATGTACACCCATGTAATGCGTTTTACTTTCCTCATTGCTTGGACAAAATACCCAACACTCCCAAGTTAAAAGAGGAAAGGTTTATTTTGACTCAGTGGCCAGCTCCAAGGCAGAGTGGCATGGTAAAGGGGCACCGTAAAGGAGAGACAGTTCATGGCAGGGGAGAAAGCAGCAAGCAGCAGCATTGAGCCTCTTTCCCTTTTCTATTCAGGTTACAAGACTATTGGTTGGTGCACCCACTCCCAGGGTGGAATTCCCATTATCAACACCTAGAACTATGCTAAATTAATCAGTGGACTAATTTAGCTATCACACACCTTTAATCCATCTCCACACATCTGAGACTCAGCCACCTCTGAAAAGTCCCACCTATGAGCACAGGAAGGCTTGGGGGAACATCACCAAGTGTAACAACCTCAAAGGATGGCTTAATTTTTTTCAAGTTGGTTGAGGTTTGTGACTGCCCTTTTTGCAATTTTACAGTAATTGCTATCACCAGTTTAGCTTATGGTGAATTATTGGCTAACTTGAGTTTGGAATAATAGAAGTTATAACAACCCCAATCTAGTGATATAACTTTTTTTGTGTGTGTGGTACTGGGGATTGAACTCAGGTCCTTGTGCTTGTGAGGCAGGCCACCCAACTGCTGAGCTAAATGCCCGGCCCTAGTGATATAACTTTTAAGAAAAATTCCTAATGACTCAAATGAGTCTTTCACATACCTTTTGTTTACTAAGCAGATACAATGGCACTTGTACTATAACATTTCATGGGCCATGTGCTGACTATGCATGTGCTGTCCTTGAGCCCATTTTAAGTAAGTTTTCTACCCACTACCGAAATCTGAGTTATCAAACTTTCCACTCTTAGCACTCATCCTATGTGACCTGTCCCAAAATATGCTCTCATCCAACCTCTAGGAGGCCCTCCCCTAGCTCTTTTTAAATCATCTTTGCTGGTTCATCACATCTACCAATCTCTATATTGGAGGACTCATCTCTCCTCAAAGTGATCCTATCCAGTGTTGTGACTTCACTTATCATCCACTGAGATTTTCCCACTAAGTTGTGTCCTGTAGTTTAAAAGCCTCTGTTCTCCTCCACTCAAATCCTAAATGCCTATTCAATTCACTTGAATGAAGGATAGTATTTCAGATAAAACCTAAAACCCAAATTAAAGCATCTTGTCTTTTCATCTCCATGTTAGCTCCTTTTTCAAAGATCAGGCCAAAATACTTGGTCGGTCATTACACTTAAATCCAGCCTGTCCCCTTTCACCTAACCCACAAGTACATCCTATTGACTCTACATTTATTTTTTGGTGCCAGGGATCAAACTCGGTTGGGGCCTTGTGCTTGTGAGGCAGGTGGCAGCGCCCCTGAGCTAAATCCCCGAACCCAACCATACCTTTATTTCCAACTACCTCTACCACCACCATTTCTCATCTAAAAGTAGTTAAATACATACAATATACTCTATGCTTTTTACCCTGCTACCCAGTAACCAAAGTGATCCTTTAAAACATGAAGTTGTCATGTAACTCTTCAGCTCTTTTTTCCCTGTGCAATCATATTTCTCTACCTCAACTTCTTCCTTTGCCTTCTTGGGTCAGGACAACCACCTTGTTCCCAGATGTGTTCTCCTGCCCTATAATGGTCTGCTCCCAGATAGCCACATGGCCTACTTCCATATTTCCATTTGTAACCAGATGGCAAGTTAGAGACCTTGTCCTTCCACTCTGAAAGTTGTTCTTCTACTGTTCTCTACACATGCTACAAAGCCCAGAGCCCATAACCTCCTATAGCCCATGCCTCTATTAAGCGTTCCATCAAGTCTTGATTCAAAGTGACATGTACCTGCATGTACAGACACACACATCACTTGTTAGTCTTCTCAAAATACCTCCATCTCTTATGTATAACCAGAAAAAGATCCAAAATAAGCAGTTTTAGACAACTATCTGAATTCAAGGCTTTATCATGAATTACAATGGTTTGTCATTTCTGAAAGACAATAAAATGCAATGTACAAACCTACACTGGATCGGGATGGGGAGGTGAGCAGCTACAGCTGTAAACAGTGGTGCTACATGTGTGGAATCCTATTAGGACAGGTAAGGCAGGGAAGCAAATTCCAGGACAGCCTGAAATATATAGCAAGACAGTCTCAAAGACAAAACATTGCAGATAATCAGGGAAATGGAGATTTCTAGATTTGAAAATCTTCTAAGTTGAGATAGGACAGCCAAGCTCACCTTTCCAATAAAGCCCTTGCTGCCCATATTTCCTCTCAAGACTTTTTCAGGGCTAGTCTATTAGCTGGGTTTCAATTTACATGCTATTTCAAGGCCTTCCCCAGAGTCAGGTTGTTTGGTTTTGACAGAACTGACTACTATCTGAAAATTTTCTTGCTGGTATGTCTGAGCCAGCAAGTTGCCTCCCAGAACAAGGTAACACATTTCTCTTCATTTTAGTCACAAATTACAATGCTTAACTGCCGATTTAAATCTCTACCTAGTACAGTACTTGGGTTGCTTTCACTCATTAGCTGAGGACTCTACTAACCTAATAGCTGCCTGAACACCAAGACCACACTATGAACTTTGAAGTCACCAGGGCAAATACAATTGCTAATCACTGGGATCACATGGCCTAATTAGTAGCCCAAAGAAAGGGATGGGAATGTGGTGCATTCAGTAGAACGATTGGTACAAGAGGCACTGGAATTAGTCCCCAGTACTGCAAAATATATTAGACACACATTTCTCATCAATCCTGGCTGCCAAAATCAGAAAGCACAAGGCCATTTTTCTTAACAGCAGAAAGTTAACTTTTCCAGGTCTGTCAAACAAGTGCATTTCACTTTCATTTATACTCACAGCCTTTTGGACAATATGCTTTTTCTCCTCTGCCTAACAGATATCCCACCATTGCATCCTTATCTTTTAAAGCAGAGGCTGGCAATCTTCCATGGTTATTCTAGGACTTGTAGGCCTATCACACTCTGCTTCTGCAATATGAAAAGCCAGAGTCAAACCACGTTAATGAGTATGGCAGTATTCCAAAAAACTGAAAAATTCAAATTTCATGTCATATGAAGCACTCTTCTGATTTACTCCCAGCCATTTAAACACTATGGCCACCTCAGCTGTACATGAGAGGTGGCAGAATGGGCTTGTTTGCCAACCCCCATTCTGATTACTAGGGAGTTTGACATCCACTCCAGACTTGGTTCTACTTGTCTTACATTAAATAAGCTCAGACAATACTTTTGTTTCCAATTGAGTTAGTCTTTTTATTCTTTTGGCAAGCTCTTCCAGGGTTAACTACTTCCACTGTACGTGATGAAATACATAAGGCTCCACTTCAAATGTTGGCACTGCTACAAGCATGGTCTTTTCCCCTTCACTGCAACTCAGAATTAAAACTTTGATTCTTGTTTTATATTCCATTCCCAGTAGTATCCACTGCAGAAGTTATCTGAAGACAGTCTTAAGCTTTCTAGCAGTGGTCTGTGACCAGTCTCTATCTTCTCCACGAACACTACGATGGATTTAGTTTATACATGTGTTAAACTAAGAGGCATTGTCTCAAATGAGTTTAAATGCACTTTATTTTTAGACAACCTACATGACATGTTTTGTTTTTTTCCCTAAAAAAACAATGCCTCCACTCCAAATAAACCACGGTCAAAATAAACGAAGTGTTCAAGATGACATCAGTCCCATTTGTCTAAAATCCTGGTGTTGTGTGGATGACAAGCAGCAGCCAGTTATGGCAAGTGATAGATCCAAGGTAACCGCCAAATCCATTACTGTAAAAACAAGGGGAAGATTACATTAACATTTTTCCCAATTAAGAGACTAAACTTTGTACCATAAAAATGTACTCCCTAATTCAATCTGGGCTGCCATAAAGACAGACAGAAAGCGCAGGGATTATTTCCTTTAGCATCCTAGTGCAAACCTAAAGAACAACAAATTGTTCAAGGTCTATCAGTGGATGCAGGACATCCATACCAAGTCAGAGGTAGAGCATTCTCCACAAGTTTTATCTTGCATCAGGTTCTACCAACAAAAACTTTAGACACTGGCTGAATAACTTTCTAACTTACGCAGAAGGCTCTAAGGCCAGGATAAGTGCCTTTGTTTTCACACAGCCTGCAGCAGACTGACATTCACTTTTACTGAATATATTTAGTTTTACTAAAATAATTTGCATCAGTTAGCTGTAGTAGCCGCTAAATGTCCTAAAGCCTTTAATAATCAGCTGCCAACTACCAATAAATCTAAGTTAAAAAAAAAAAAAAATCTTTTGAATTATGTAAGATGTGGTAAAACAGGAAAAATGAAAATAAGGCCAAATCTACTGGGGGTGTGTGTGTGATTCAATGTAGATTGCTATTTCCGATCTTCAGTTCAGTATTTATACCATTCTTTACACCATCTACTCAGTGTTCTATAGATAACCAAGATGGATTTTTATATTGTAAGAGGCTCTCACATGTTAATTACAATTCTCTTTAGACCTCCATAATAGAAACAAAAAGCCACAAAAAATGAGATGCCATGTTTAAAAACCACCCTGGTTACTACCCTAGTGGCACAAAACAATCATGGCTAAAACACCTCTATTTTTACATTATTTATTTCAACCCACTTCCTGATACTTACACATTTTTCCATTTCTAAACCATCCTTAAAGAAAATCATAAATGGGGTCACACCATCCTCACGGTAGTCCAGGAGAGCAACCATGCCATCTGGATTCATGTTTGCACCAATAAAAAACTTGGGAAACAAATACTATAATTAGACCATTATATTGAAATACATATCTTAGAGCAAACAAAGGAATCAGAACACGCACACACAATCAAGAAATTTCAGCAAGTACAAGCTCTGATGCCTAAGATAAATGGTCACTCAACCACCAATTCAGTTTTATAAAGCATCAGTAACAACCAATAGTAACAGTACATCGGAACAACACTTTAGGATTTCTAGACATTTTCATTTTCTCAACCCCACATTTCCAAACCCTACTTGCTTACATATCTAACACTGGGAACAAAAAGCTGTCAGTAAGTACACGGGGAAGAAATCTTACAGGTAAGAGATACAATAAAATTAGAAAAATGAAAAGCAAGATTGTGATATGAAGTTAATAAAAAATCAAATCTTATAGGTAAGGGGAGGTGACTTAAGTTTTCCTAACACTTAAATGTTAGGACTACCAAGCAGCTCAGATGTAGCAGAAACACCAGGGGCAAGCAAGACACAGAATTGTAAACAAAGCTGGGATACTAGGAAGTTAAGCAATCCAAGAGATGGAAGAACTGAGAACTGTCATTTGAAGCCAGCCAGCATTCTTTAAAAATCAAAAGACAAGATCTAGGAACACTTAAGAGCAGCAGACTACATTCTACTCCTAGACTCCAGTTGAGTCTATAAAGCCACAACTTAATTACAGATGATTAATTGACAGACAAAGCTTTTATTCTTATAGCTAAAGAAACTGTAATCCTTTGATCCAAATACTAAAATATTTACCTGATAGTTTTTGAAATTAGCAAGGATGTGCTTGATTTGTTCTGCAGCCCCTGTCATAAAAGGTTTTACTCTTTCTGGTCTTTGTTCTTCAAGTTTGCCTTTGATTCTAAAACAGTATTTTGTTAACCGGTTACTAAAGTATTAGATTCTGAGCAAAGTCAATTTTTTCAGCTAAGTAAAAAAATACAAGCCGCCAACTTTTAACTAGCTGTCAATGAGCAGAATAATATGGCACAATGAGGATATAGTTACTATTTCACAGAATTGATCTTTCAAGATCTTTTACAATCCCAAATATCATAACCAGACTGCACGCTCCAGTATGCTCATGTCAGATTACTGGCTGAAAAGCAACTATCTCTAGGTTAAATAAAAAGTACACCCTTTCCCAAGAACTTCTCCTAGAACTAAACATGCCAATCTCCAAATCCTCTAAGAGCCTAGAAATCAGCTAGGAATTGCCAATGTCACTTACGATTTCATATAATCTTTGATGTACTTCTTGTAGGCCTCTTTTGTGAAGCTGGTTTCCTGCAAGTGATGGTTCATGACAATATCAACACCAGTGACTACTGTGCTTTCGGTACCTTCGCCGTCGGGGCCTTCAGCGGAGGCATTTCCACCAATGAGCGAGTCATCAATGTTACCCTCCGTTCTACTGACCATCTGTAGTAAGAAAAAGTAGTTTACTTGAGGAAAAAAAGCCTCCAAAATATTTCCTGCACTGGCAATTTATATTCGGTATCGTTTTGGTCAAATATTTAGTTCTTGTTGAAAACCAGTTTTCCCAGAAACAATCTGGCCCAACAATAACTAACTGTTGACCCCAACAAAAATGAGGCCACTTTACAACGTAGTGGAAGCCGTTCACAGTTATGGGCCTCGGGTTGTCACAGGTTAAGTAACCACAGGGCACACATTGTTTGGGGATCTAACCCCGGGACGTGTCCTGGTCAGCTCGTAAGGAGGATGGGCGCCGAGGCGAAGGACCTATTTCCAGCCTCCGCTCCGCCTCCACTTTTCTAGAAAAACCTAACCCGATGTGCGTCTCCTCCGCCAGGAGGCCGCGGAAAGGATTGCACAACCTCGGGCGGGGGAGCGGCGGAAACCCGAGCCCGCCTGCTTGGCCCTGCCTCCCCGACGCGGCGCTCCGACCGACTCACCTTGCCCTCCACCTCCAGGCACAGCCCGCCCGCGATCTCCCGGATCTTGTAAATGTCGGAGAACATCTCATCGT